TTCGGGAGGGAGAAAACAATTTGGGACCAAAAAATGTATATATTTTTCGGGCAAAATGCCCGGCGCCGCAGTGCCGAGCAGGGGCACCCCGGTGCCGGGGGGCCCGAAAGTGGACGCCGCAGCGCCACCTGAGCAGTTTAGAGTTTTCCGAGTTTTTCTCTCCTTTTTCGTTTTGGACTTGGGTTTTGACATCCTACTTCATCAACAACTTTACTAAGAGAGTTTAAACGTCCCCTACATATTCCCTATAAATATTTATCTTTTCTATACGATTTAATAAGTGTAAGAAAATAGATTACTAGAATTATAGGATTCATTGTAATTTTCTCTCTTTTCTATAATTCTTGAATTAATAAAATCTCTTAATTCATCTTTCATATTTCTTGTCTTTATTATTCTTTTATTTGATCTAATATTTTATTATTTGTCATATAACTTCAACAATTCATTCCGGTTGTTGGTTTCATAACAATAACAATGAAATTGGTGAATTACCTTCCACAAATTATATTGATCAATTGCAACACACCCATTAGCTCCACCCTCAATTTTACCTGCCACTCCAATAAACTAGCTCAGGAATGGACACGGAACTCACAAATAAATGTATGTATGTACGTAATTATAAACATATATGTATGTATGTACGAAGACGGGGAGAGAGAGGAGACCAGGTGTTCTCATTGTGAAGACATCCCAGATGCTTTGACTTTTACCTCCTGTGGCCCAAGCACCTTCGACCTGAATTACATTGCAAAAAATATATATATATATATCAAGAAGCATTTCTTTTTCTTTCCTTTTTTGAGCAAGTATAAAAAGCTTTTAAATGAATACACTCATGTGCGTGGACAAGATGATTCATTGATTTGTTGAGCATTTCTTATATTCTAAAAAGCACAGACACAGACACAAAGTCGGACACGTTGACAAGTGATTTTTTTTTAAAAAGTTTTGACACGATACGTCGTCGAATTAAATTATTTTTTTAAAAAAAAATTAATAGCTTAAAGCAATTTTTTATGCTTATTGCATCATATTTTTGACGTCCTTCGTAAGTTTATTTTTATTGAGGGTAAAATGGTAAATTAAATGATAACTAATTTGATCAACATAAAAATTACCTTTTGCTTTGTTGAAGGGTAAAGTTGTAAAAAAAATAAAAAAATCTAACCACATACTAGAAAAAGATATTTTACATAGCATTTAATGTTATGAGCAATTGGATCCAACAATTTAAATTGAAATTTTGGTTTATGTCACTTTCTTCTTTTCTTCCCTCACTTCGTTTCTTCTTTTCTTCCTTTCATCTCAAAGTCAGCCGTCTCTTCTTCCGATCATGTTTTTGTTTTCTTCTAGCCATTCCAACCGTGTTTTCTTCCAATCGTTTGCTTTAATTTTGGCTCCAACACGCATCAACGACGTATCAGTGTTCGATACGTCGACGCCGATAGCGTGTCAGTGCTTCCCAATATATATTACACGTGAATTTTGCTATTTGTACAAGAAAAAATAGCCTGAAGAAGTGGTCGAAATGATGTGAAGGGAAAAGATTGGATGAAAAGGCTGAATGTATTTTAAATTGGTAAAGAATAGAATGATATGTGATATTATATAAGACATTATGTAATTCTTGATATACACACCTGATAAGCAGATGTTGACGAACCAAACATAAAATCTGAGGGAAAATCGGACCGCTTTATCCTGTTTCTACCCGCTAGATTGCCGCTGGAAAAATCCAAAAGTGCAGATGCAACGGGGCCGCCTTTCGTCATGAGGCTGTTTTGTTTATTCGCTGCTAGTAAAGGACACGTAATTTGACGTAGTGTAACTTAAAACTGGAGTGCTTGGAGAGTTACCCAACAAGGTATTTATAGGAAATTATAAGCACGAATCTAAGACGAACAAGTTCATCTTAACACGTATATAGAATTGTCAAAACTTTTGTTCTAATTATTAATTTGCCTTCTTTTTCTTCTGTTGACTTTTCTAAACTACACGTAACAAGACGAGAAAAAAAAATACAGCTGGGAAGTAAATTTTCAATCTTATTCTATTTAATTGTTGACAATGCTAAGTGAAAATTCAAATAAATATACAATCATCGATATCAAAATGTGACTAATAGAAAATCATTCACAGATATATTAAAATTATAATTACGTGCGAACATACAATATCTACGTAAGGATTATAATTACGTAAAAGTACATTCAAATTCAATGATTATTAATATAAAGATTACGCAAAACATAAATATATATTTCTACCCCTTTATCCGAATATGTGATACTTGACAAAAACGTGTAAAACTTATATTTAACCTCTTGAAAATAATACGAGCCAAAAAATCATTCAAATTGTGAACAATTACCCAATTGTTTGACTTTTCCTTCGTTTCTGATAACTTTAGAAAGACAACCTGGAGGGTGTATTTGATTGCATTTATTTTTCATGGAAATTTTCAGTTTTCGTCCAAATTTATACTTTGAAGTGTTTAATTGCTATTTTTTCCATGAAAAATATTTTTCAACTTTTAAGAAAAATGTTTTCTCTGAGGGGAGTAGGTTTTTATTTTTCTCTGCGACAATTCTTGAAATTTCGGAGCCACTTCGACTTTCACAAGGCCATCAACGGGCCGTTCATTGAGGACTTAGTTGAATAACAATAATATTGAAATTTTAAGCACAATAAATATTTGAAGATAAAAATAATATGTCCATACAGATTTAGGCACATTAAAATTTAAAGCTCTAGTAGGACTCCTATTAACAAGGTATGCAGCAATTTTATCAGCTTCTGCCCAAAATAATTTAGGTAAGTTTGAACTTAAAAGCATGTGTATCACTTCTTTCAACAATGCCATTTTGTTGAAGAGTATAAGTCATAGTTTTATTCCTTAAAATGCCATGCAGTTTACAGAAATTATTGAATTCATAATTTTAAAATTCTAAGCCATTATCTATCCTTAAGGTTTTTATCTTAAGATCAATTTTAGTTTTTCAATCTTTGAAAATATTAAAAGTTTTATCTTTGGTTTTAATAAAAACACCGAAGTTTTTCTAGGAAGATTATCAATGATCAATAGATAATATTTGCAAGCAGACAGAGGTGTGTATTCTAGGATTTGCTTAGATTTATGAATTCTAGAAGGAAAAGGCAATTTTACTTGCTCACCAATCACACATTGTTCACAAGAAGGAAATTCACCAATGTTAAGTTTTTCAAAAAACTCTTTGATTTTGTATAGACTTTAAACTTTTCTTACCAAAGTGTCAAGTCTATCATGCTACAATTTTGCAAGAATAATTTTTTCATTTAAAATAGTTGTCAGGCCAAGTAAATGTTCTACTTCAAGGAAAGGGTTAATTACCCCAATAGTCACTGAACTTTACCGAAAGTTTCCTCCAGGTCACTGAACTTTAAAATTACGTGGTTAGTCACTGAAGTTTCGAAACTACAGCCCCATCAATCACTGAACTTTAAAAATCACTACATTCTTCACTGAACTTTACAAAAGATTTCTATGGGATCACTGAACTTTGCAAAAAGTTTCCCTGATGGTCACTAATTCAATGACCATCTGGGAAACATTTTACAAAGTTCAGTGATGAATTGGTGATTTTTAAAGTTCAGTGATGGATGGGGTTACAATTTTGAAAATTCAGTGACCAACCACGTAGTTTTTAAAGTTTAGTGACCTGGTGGAAACTTTTGGTA